AAGTTTTGGATATCTCAGTCTGAGAAGCAGTTTTCCGTATGCTGGGTTGTTTTATTTTTCTATAAGGAAAGTTTCAAGATGCTGCAGGGAACACTTGATAATTTTTCTGAGCATGGGCTGTGATTTGCTAGCAGTTAGCTACATCTGTAAACTCAGTGGTAGATTCTGCTGGTTGATTCTTCAGATTGAAGATGAGAAATAATAAAGAAGTTTGGGTGAGTGAATCAAGCATCAAGGTGCACGCGTAAATCCCATGAACAGTGCTAATGCGTGTAGTGTCGCTGCCTGTCTTCTGAAAGTGCAATCTCAGCAATGTGAGGCCTAGACTTTAAGGTAAATGTTGGCATAAGTTGCTAGTCCGGGTTGTGAAATGTTTAGCAAATGTACTCTCAGGAGTTTGCAAGTGTGCACTGTCTGTGGTATGCATGAGCTTTTGCCTGGAAATGTGTAACTCTAGTCAGAAAAGCAAATGGACCTGACTTACTGGACAACTTTATTACAAAAGGGGAAACTTTTGTTTGGTGTTTTTTTTTATGCAGGATGTAGAATTTCAAGTTAGAGTTTGTGCTGTTTCTGCAGCCAGGCCTCTTCCCTGTTGCTTGGAGAGTACCTGAAAGGGAATCCTCTAATCAGAGGATTTTCTTCTGTCCAGTAGTGTAATTGCTTATGGTTTTCCCAGGCCTTATATAAACCCTCCCAATTAGTGGTTGAATAAACTTTAAAACCAGTTACTATCCGCTTTGCTCCCTGGATGGAGGGGATCTTAGCTGTAGGCTGTCTCTTCAGTGGCTGCTTCATACCAGTGTTTCTGAGCTCTGACATAAATATGAACATATGGAAGAGGGGATGTTACATGCTAACTCGGAGAGCTACACCCAACAAACTCAGCTGTGGGAAGGGCTGTGTGCCACATTTAAAGGTGCACTTGCAGGTCCGTGAGTTTTTAACAACAGTCCTTTCCTCACGTGGTTACCTGTTAATGCCAGGCACAAGCTGAGAGTAGTTGTTCATGTTTGTGATCTGGCAAACCCCTCTAGTGAGGAATACTGCAAATTGACCCTGGGGCTCACAAACTAAACACAGTGAGTTGTTTACGTACCACGTACATTGATGGCTTTATAATATATTGTTATATTGGAGCTTCATATTGACTAGATAGTCATGGCAGCGATCTTTAACCTGGCCACCTTCCCTGTGAAGAACAGAGCCTGCAGCAAGTTCTACTTTCTGCTTAGACCAAAGAGGAGTAGAATAGGAGGGAGAAGCAATAATGGGTCTTTTTTTCTGCAGAGCAGAAGGAATTTTGAAACTGACCATTTCAGCCAGGAGTTTGGGTGGCAGCAGTGTGACAGTAGCACTCTTGACAGATACTTTGAAAACAACTGGCAAAACTTAGAGGCATAAACTTTCTTAAAATGATTTAAATATTTGAGGTCTACGCTGTAGAGAAAGAGTGGTAAACCTTTGAAGTGCTGGATAAAAAACTGTTTAGTAAATAAGGCATCAGTATCTGGTAATGAACAGGGACATTTTTAGCTTGCTGAAGTAATTTGCATCCTTCTTACCTGGCTATGCTGCCTATGACAAATAGAGAATAAGAGCTATCTCATGCAGAGAAGTCTTGATTTTTTTACTGTACCAGTGCTTCTCAACTTCAGTGTACACTACAAGCTGTATTATGTCTTAATTCTCCATCACTCCACTACTTTCTTAACCTTCCCTCTGTGTTAGATTAACTTAAAACAACTGGTGCATAGCAACTTTCATGTGTTACAGCCAGCTTGGCTTCAGTAAGTATTAAAAGACATCAATCTTGTTTCCACTTGTAAATCAGTGAGCATTTTGGGGGAAACAGTTCTTAATGGAAACTTCAGGCTCTGTTAACAATGACCCTGGCACTGAATGGCTATGTTTGCCGGATCTGATTGCTTTTTCTGAACTATTTTGGCTCTGTGGCTTCTCTAGTCAAATTGGAAGAAGGGTAAGTTTGGGAACAGTGGTCTTGGGTGACTTTTGTGTTAGGAGGTAATCTTCCTCTTCTTAGCTCTAGTTTGTGATGTCTTATTGCAGACAGAAGCATTAAACCCTTGTTGATGCTGCACTTCTTGGAGGCAGGGTATTAGGAGTGTGGTGGAAAAAAATCACATCTGGCCATGTGGGGAATAACTGTTTTTAGCATGATATACAGAGTGGGACTGTTATACTGCGTGACTAGGAGAAGGTGAAGAAGCAAAGCTGTTCATCGGTGAGGAGAAACCAGCCTCAGACACTCATATAACCATAAGTCTTTGACTTTCCTTTTTTTAAAGGCCAGCTAATAGAATGCAAAGATGCATAATTCTCAATTTTATTAATCCACTCTTTGGCTTATAATTTGTTCTGACTAAACAGTGCCTTGAAACTAAATAATTTCTAACTTGGAAATAGTGATTTGAGCACCAACATCAGGAGTTCAAGACAAATGATGAGAAGAGAAGGGTCTGTCGAGGTAGAAGAGGGACAGCTGCATTTAAAGTATTTTTGAGGCTTCTTTTGATGAACAGAATTGGTGGATCAGTTTGTTCAGAAAGTAGCATTCTGGTTTTTATTTATTTGCCTTTATGTTGTGTTTATACAGAGGATTTGGTGGAATATTTAAGACAACCTGATTTGTATGTAAGGTTGGACAAACCTTTCAGGGTATCCCTGTTTTCCAGTTTGGTCATTTGGAGCTTCCCCTCAATGGGCTAAAAAATAAGTATTTATTTAAGACCTGTTTCCTCCTTCCTATTTTTATATGCCCAATGGGGTAACCAATGCTAGTATCCTCTAAAATGAATGACAGAAAGGGGGAATGACTTCTGTGGAGCACTAAAAAGGGGAAGGATTGAGGTGCTCCCCTCCCCTGCTCAGCCAAGCATTGCTTATTTCAGTCGTTAAATCTGGGGTTTTGATCTTGGATTCAAAAAGATTCGTGCTTTTCAAAAGTTGTTAACAGTTTATTAACAGCTCATTCTGTGGGAACTGCCTTGTTGGCAGAAGGTGGGAGGAGGCTGTTTTCTGAAGAAAACAAATGCTGGTGAAAAGCTCTCAGAACTTGGTGTGGACTTGTGGGAGTGAGAGGAAAGCATTTGAAAGCCAGGTATGGACTTGTGGGAGTGAGAGGAAAGCATTTGACTCTCCGTAAGGGCTTGAAAGCAAGGTGAAGCTTGTGAGGGAGCTGATGCAGGTGTTATCTGCAGAGCTGTGGATAGGTGGCCAAGGCCTGAAGATGAGTATGTATGTGGCAGCATATCTTACCAGCTATCAGGGGTAGCAGCTGTAGGAATCACTGGAAGTAAGATGCATCTCTCCTCTGCCTTCATTTGTATTTCATTTTCCTTTGAAACATCTCACAGCCACGTGATCTTGAGACAGGTTTCTTCCACTACCCAGCTCACTTAATTCCTATGTCTCCTGTCTTTCTCAGGTTCCTGTGGAGCACTGCTTGCTTGCACATCCTTCTTTTCACCTCCCTGCTTGGTCCTTGGTGATCTCTCCTGGAAAGCTGGCTGCACTTGGGTCACTAACTGGTCTTGGAAAAAACTAAAGCCCTTGTTTCCAGTTGCATTCCTCTGTCTTCCTTCAGGCTGGATATTAGGAAAAATTTTTTCACTGAAAGGGTTCTCAGCCATTGGAATGGGCTGCCCAGGGAGGTGGTTGAGGCACCATCCCTGGAGGTGTTCAAAAGACAGGTTGATGTAGTGCTGGGAGGTATGGTTTAGTGATGATGCTCCTTGTTTGTTGTGTGGGTGTCTATTTTTGTCAGTTAGGTTGACGGTTGGACAAGATGATCTTTAAGGTCCCTTCCAACCTAGAAGATTCTGTGATTCTGTGAACAGTCCCATATTTGTTCTTATGAACAGTTCCACACCTTTCCTGTCTTCTCCTTTGACTTTATAACAGTGCTTGACTGTTGGTACCCTTTTTGGTTGCACTGTACCTTCATCGTGCTCCTCAGCAGCCAGCCTGCTCCCTGGCAGTGCTCTGCAGAGGCACACCCCCTCGTTGGCACCTTCTTTCTCCTCCTGCTTATTAATTCTTGTTCTCATGACATCATTGCTATTTCTATTCCGCCTTGCCTCTTTGCATCACTTTTTTTTAATTATAGACAGCTATTGGCTGAGAAAAGGAAGGATAAACTGATTTCAGTGTCACTTAGAAATACTGTGTGTCTGTTCATGTAAAAATCAGGGGTTTTTTACGTGCTCTTTGAGACCTAATGCAGATGGTTAGGAGGGTCTTCTGCAGCCTTGCTCATGAAGGTATTCTAGCTTTCTTTGGGTCGTTTGCAACTGTTGAAAGCATCAAGGGTGAACACTTACCTGGTTTCTAATTGTAGCAAACTTCAGTATCATTCTGAGTTCAAAGAACTGTTGATTGCCCTTTTGATCTTTATACTGCCTGGTTGCTGGTGCACTTGTGTGTCCTCTTTCGTTTTACAAATAGAAAATACTACCCAAGAGTGATTACGTGACTGCTTTGAATTAATACTTTCCTTCCTTTTTTTAACATAAGACATCCTTGTGATTTTTTGTTTTGTTTTTCAGTCCCATCTGTTTTGATATGATTGAAGAAGCCTACATGACAAAATGTGGACACAGCTTCTGGTAAGATCTTTTTTTTTTTGTATTGCACAAAATGTCCATCTCTTACAGTGTGTGAGGACTGATGTTGCTGTGAATCCCTTTCCTTCCGAGTTTGTATTACTTTTTTCTCCTGTCCTTACGCTGAAGAAAGAGGTTGAAATACAATTTTAAAAGATGGTTACCAGTTAGATTGAAGAAAGTTGTCTTAGTGTTTAAAACAAAAAATATTGTGCCATCATATTTCCTCTGTAAGGAGATAAAATGGTCATAGGCTGCTGGTAGCATCCGGTACCCAGCATCAGAACAGTTTGTCAGCTTTTCTTTACTGGCAATGGAAGATGTCTGTTACCACCTGAAGAAGTGGATCCCACCTCTGTGGAGGTCATGGGAGTGACTGTTGGTGTTGAGCGGTCCTCCTTGCCTTTCTGCAAGACGATATACAATTTTAAGTGGTTTGCACATTGTCCATTGCAATTCTCTTAAACTTTTTAAGAGAGGATATGATTCAGATTTTTTTGTTGTATTCAGTTGGCCCAGAGTCCGCTTATTTTTCAGTGTACTATCTTTGTCACAAGGAGCAAATGTTTCATGCAGAAGTACAGGAACCCTCCCGGGGCAGGTATGGAACTGTATGCTGCTCCTGCTCACAGCTAGGGATTGGAATAAATGTTAAATCATGATGTTTTAATGTCCCATGTACATTATACTCTTATGGTATCTGTTAACTAGAAATAAATCGCCTACTTTTTACAAGAAGTAATATTTTAGCAGCATAAAACACTTTCTCAAGCAGCAGATTCAGTTAACTTTCAGAAATCTTTTGACCAGCAACAGGTAAAATAACAGCTGATTTTTGTGCCCTCTACGGTAATGCTTTATCCCTGTGATCTGTAACTTTTGAAGTCTAAGGTGAGGAGCATTCAAAGCTTGTGGCAACAGAACGATGTGATGTTGTCACATGGTGTCTTTACCAGCAATCAGCATGAAGCTAGATTCTTAGTGAAATGCTTAAACTCGATGCTGAAGTGTATCTTGTAGTTACTCTGTCCTTCAAATAGCTAACAGCTCAACAGAGAGCACCTCTGAAGTCACTTCTGGTAAGAACAATAGCCGGGGGGTGGGGGGACATGTGAGAAGTTGGTGAAGGTTTTTTTTCTATCCTTGATTACACAAAATGTATAATAGCTTTTAATGTTGCTTGATAAGTATTTGGCTAATCTAGAAGAGTTGCTTCTGAATAACTCAGCCTGTTTATTAGCTCTACCTGTGGAAGAGAGGCGTAAGTTCAAGATGGAAGTGTGGCTGAAGTATCCATGTTGCCACAATCCTCAGGGAAATAGGAGTGAAGTACTTAAATACCTTTTGTAATCCTTGCCAAGAAACTTTGCTGTCTTTCTGCTGTAGCATGCTCTGAGTTAGTATTGGAATGTTTTGACTCCACTGTAGGATCTTGGCAATGTTGCTGTTAGCTGGCAACACGAAGAGCATGTTATCTAAGGTTGATATTATTTACCTTGAGCTTATGTTTTGTTCCTTCATGTTTGCTCACTTGTTTTGTTTCTTTTTTGTTTGTTTGTTTTTAAACAGCTATAAATGTATTCACCAGAGCTTGGAGGACAATAACAGATGTCCCAAATGCAACTATGTTGTGGACAACATAGATCATCTTTATCCCAACTTCTTAGGTGAGCTCTATGGGCTTGCTTGCATGAGAAATGTTTTACTTGTTAAGGCAGGCACTTGTAAATTCATCCTATAAATAACTGGGTTCTGGATACTGAATATAAAATCCAGACATCAGTCCTTTGGTCAACTGTGGTTTTTATTAATGAAAAAAAAAAGCGGTTAGTAGCATAAATTGTTAATACTCCACTGCCTCCAGCAGTTCTGTATGCTGAGTTACAGTAGTGAGACTGACTTGCTGCTGTTTGCATACTAAGAAAAGTAAAACAAAGATGTTTTTCTGATGGCTAGAGACTTGGATCTCTCCATTTACCTCTGTTTTCTTGCACTGTTACCTGTCTAATCAAGATCATGTCCTGTTTGCGAAGCATGGACACTGAAGGGGGAGGCTGAATTACATATTGTGCTACTTTGGTTACTGCAGTGAGGTCCATGCAATGTATGTATGTGTGTAAATAACATACAGGAAAAATATTCATACACACACCTATATGCAATCCTAATTGATTGCTGCTTAAACAGAGGGAGGTCTTCCTAACTGGAAATAGAGTTTAGAACTTTATGGGGAGAAAAGATCAAAGGAAACACATTAGTGTGAAATATCAAAACTTAATCAAATCTTGTTTTCATGTGCCGTGATACTCATTTAATATTAAATAGATTAAAAGCCACAGTGGTCAAGGAATGCTGCAGAAATGGGCACCCTGATTTAAACACATGCATGTTGTGCTGAAGGTGGTGCTGAGGCAGGTCTGGGAGGATGTGTTAGGCCATACAGGGATTTGAGGTCTGGACTGAGAGGGAGGAGCTTTGTGTGTGTGTGTGTGTGTGAAAGGCTTGGGTTTCATTTCTGTCTTTACACCACTCACTAAATTAGTATGAAATAAAACCATAGCAAAAATTTATCTTTAAAAATACACGCAGTGATTAAAAGAAAGAAGTTGTTCTACTTGGCTGTACTTGTTTTTGGCCCGTGGTAAATCAGTTAATGTTTTTCCTCCCTTACGCTAATCTGTGATGCACTTCTGCATTGGAGTTGAAAAACTTTGTCAGAGAACCATGGTTGCTTAGAAAAAGGAACTGAAGCAATTTAGGGAATGTGTTGGCATTGCATTTGTTGATTTATTTTTTTTTTTAAAGAATCTTTATATACTGTACCAAAAAATAAAGGAATAAATTGGCTAGGCAAAAATGGAGGCATCTGTTTTATTTACTGATAAACTTACTGTGGAATTAATAACTAAATAAAAATATTGAGACACACTTTTTCATACTTTTTTGTGAACTTTAAATCCATTTCTTCTCTGACGTCCTGTTTATTTCTTTTAAGTCAATGAACTTATTCTTAAACAGAAGCAAAGATCTGAGGAGAAAAGACTCAAACTGGACCATTCAGTGAGTAGCACCGTATGTTCCAACTTTCTTACTTTATATTTATTTAATAGTTTTGTACTGCAATTGTCATTATGTGGCTTAATTTAGAAGAAATCACGCTGTTGAGCTGATGCTTTAACTTGCTTTATGAGGAAATAATAGCAATATCAGTGACAGTAGATACCTTCAACATTGTTAACTCTCATTCTTCCTGCCAGCATTATGTATGTAGAGGCAAGCTGTGTTAGCATAGCTGAGTGTCACATGATGTATTGATATAACCTGGGAAACTCTCCATGAAAGCAAACTTGTTTGAAAGTAATAATTTTCATTTAGTGTTGGAAATTACAGCTACAATGAGAGTAAGGGATAATTAGAAGTGCCACGGGCTTGTCTGATCACATGTGAGAAGCTGTGTTGTACAGGGAAATTGGAGGAACACTGATAGCAGCCACAAGAGGGAGAAGGATGCCTTCAGACTGCTGGTGTTCTGGCTCTGATTCACAGATAAAACTGCCTGGATATCTTCTAGACTTGCTTCATGTCACAGAATCAGAGCATGATTTGTGTTCTCAGTTCATGAAAAGCAATGTACAGATCAGTGGATGCTCTTGTACGTTCAAATCAAAAAGAATATATGATATTATTATTGCTACATCTGGCTTCTTTAGCTTCTATAATGCATAAAAATGGTTGCAAATTAATATTAAAAATCATGGAGCCCTGTTTTTGTCAGTGTTGTGGTTTAATCCTAGCTGGCAACTAGGACCATGCAGCTACTTGCTACTTCTCCTGCTGCCTCTGCAGTGGGATGGGGAGAAGAATGGTGAAAAAAAATAAAAAAGGAACACTTGTGTGTTGAGATAAAGACAGTTTAAATAAAGCAAAACAAGGAATTCACTCACTACTTCCCCTCACCAGGCAAGTGTTCAACCATCTCCAGGAAAGCAGGGCTCTGTCATATGTAATGGTTACTTGGGAAGACAAACACCATAACTCTGAAGGTCCCCTCTTTTCCTTCTTCCCCCAGCTTTATGTACTGAGCATGATGGCATGGAAATAGCCCTTTGGTCAGTTGGGATCATCTGTCCTGCCTGTGTCTCCTCCCAGCGTTTTGTACACTCCCATCCTACTTGTTGGTGGGGTGGTGTGAGGAGCAGAAAAGGCCTTGAGAGCTTAGCAACAATCAAAAACATCAGTGTGCCATCAACACCACTCCCCTCCCAAATCCAAAACACACTACTGCACCACCTGCCAGCAAAAAAAGTCAACTCCATCCCAGCTGAAACCATGACAGTTTAAAAATCCCCTCTATTAAGGTCAATTTAGGGGCTCTGTTCCAGAAACCAATGCTTTCAGCAGTTGTATGCTTAAGAAGAGAGCATGCTTTAAGGATTCATTGGTTTACTCACAGTAAGTTTTTATATGCAATATAATGTGCTTATACCATATGCAATATAAAGTATGCATAAGCCATATCTGGTTTAAAATGCACACAGTTAACCTGAGGGCATGTATAGTAACTTCTTGGAAATTGATTCTGCTTTCTTGTAATGTGCCTTTGAAAACAGTGCCTGTAGATGCATCCATGTTAGATAACTACCAGTAATTGGAAATCTACCATGATTTGATGCCCAAAACAGTGCTGTGTCTACCTTTTGGCAGCAAAAAAAAAGTAAATAGTGACATCTCTAAAAAGAAAAACCTTGCTGTTGTACCTGCTGCTTCATGTGCCTGTTCTCTTGTATTACTTCTGGTTTTAAGAGAAGTCATTCAAGACACATTGCAGCAAGTGCACCATTTCTTGGTCATGGATTTGTCTCATTAAGAAATTGTGTTAAAGCATCTTTGAAGCTTTCTGAGTAGTTTAGCAGTAGTACATTCAACCAGTATATTAGTATGTTAAAGTTTGTCTTAAAAGCGTTAAGCAAGTCAACAAGATTTATAGTTTTATTGTTGTTCCAGATCAAAATTGAATTTTTGCCTCTGTGATTTCCACTGGCTCTGTTGAAAGTTGTGTAAAAAGTTGTGTTGTGTATGGTTGTTATGGTTTTTATTGCTCTTAAGCTAGCCCATACAAACCTCTTAGAAAATGTCTGGTTTAGATTGGATGGCATTTCTAGTTCTTGCAAACTAACAAGATTTTTATTTTTATTGTTGTTCCAGATCAAAATTGAGCTTTTGCCTCTGTGATTTCCACTGGCTCTGTTGAAAGTTGTGTAAAAAGTTGTGTTGTGTATGGTTGTTATGGTTTTTATTGCTCTTAAGCTAGCCCATACAAACCTCTTAGAAAATGTCTGGTTTAGATTGGATGGCGTTTCCAGTTCTTGCAAACTTAAATATTTTTATCTAGTGTCATAGCTTTTATAGAGCAGGATTTTTTTAATCCAGCTTTGTTTTGTAGAAGACCTAAAGACTCTCAGCTGTTCTTTTGTTTCCTGAGGCTCTTTTGTTTGTTGTGTGGGTGTTTATTTTTGTCAAAATTAGGTTGACGGTTGGACAAGATGATCTTTAAGGTCCCTTCCAACCTAGAAGATTCTGTGATTCTGTAATATAAGGCTATATTAGCATTAATCTGTTATTTGCCTTTTTCCTGTGCTAAAAGATAATTTATTTTTTTTACCTTTTTTACTGACAAAAAGAAGAGCAAACAGCCTGTAGGGAAGAATGGGCTGAATGGTAGTATGCTAGCTCCCTGAGGAGTCCTCCTCAGATCTAACAGGTTGAATGAGAAGATCACCCTGATAAGCTCCATCTTCTTTCCTCCTCTCATGTTTCACATGAAAATACTTTTAAGAGTAGTGTGGGAGGTGAGAATAGAAAAAATAGCTGATACTACCTTCTTCCATTTAAATTTAAGCATGAGGGCTTTATCTATGACTTGGTTAAAAAAATTAAAAGGTATTGCCACTTAACAGTATTTCAGATAGATGTAATCCAACTAAGCTTGGATAAACATTTTTATTTTTTCTTTCTCCCTATAGAAACATGTTCTCAGAAACTAGGGCACAAATCAGATAAAATTGTGGCTGTGAAATAATCTCTTCCTAGCAGCAGCAGCTACGTGCTCATAAAGTACAAATATCTTCCAAATAAGATAAGCAGTTACCCAGTAGGACAGAAGATCTGTATTCTCTACAAGTGGGAGAATTGGGAATTCTGATTCCTGAAAATTGTTTTGGAATTTTTACAAAGGGATGAAATACTGCAATGTTGTCTTAATATCTGTTGCTGGATGTAGCTCTGGATGCCTTGAACTCAGTGTCTCTCCAACGTCTCGTTTTCTTTCTAGAATGGCCATAGGTGGCAGATAATTCAAGATTTATTGGGAACTGATCAAGACAATCTTGACTTGGCCAATGTCAACCTGATGCTGGAGCTGCTGGTGCAAAAGAAGAAGCAGTTGGAAGCAGTAAGAAGGCTCCCTTGTCTTATTTAAATGAACACCATTGTCTAGTTAGCTGTTTTTTCTTTTCATGCTTTTGCTTCCTGAAGTAAGTTTCCATTGCCAAAATAATTGCTCAGAATTTTCTGCTGCATTTTGGTATTGAAAAGTTGGCCATCCTGCTGGCCTTTGTAGCAAACTAACACTTCAACTGCGACACCCTTAATATGCTTGTAGTGTTGCTGCTGGCAGGGTTGTGTAAACAGCAAGGGAAAATGGAAAAGGATAAGAGAAAGTCGTTAGCAGGAGAAATGCTTATGAAGATGTCTGCTAATTGACTGTTGCACAAGTAAATACCAGATCTGTCTTGGTAATAAGCATGATGAAGTCCAAAATATAGGTTAAGGAATAAACTCAATGAGCATGTGAAAAATATCACACCTTCTAGCTTCCACTGGAAGTGATTGAACCCGGATGACTGCCATCCCTGAAGAGTTTAGTATTTAGTGCTTGAAAGAAAAGTTCAGATGTTTTGTTTATGAGGCTGGTTTGAAGACTTACACAGTGTGTTCCTATGTTTTAACTGAAATATAGTTGGTTTGGGATAGTTCTCATGTACTAGGCCATTCCATGGTGTTGGTATCAAATGACCATTTTCCAGTTATGAAAGCCAGACCTTGTAAATTAAACTGGATTACAAAATCTGGCCTAGTGAACTTTGGGTAGAAGGGTGTGTTACGATGGTGCTTTAAAACTGGAGAGGAAAAGTTGTATTGGGAATGGTGTACCTTATTCACTCTTGCAGAATCAATATTTACACAACTTGTGGTTCTAATGGAAGGAAAATAATCCCCAAAAATGTTTACTGACTCCTAGCAAAACTGTTATGTTACCTTACTGTGTGGGGACTTTGTACATAACTTTTTTTTTTTATTGGGGTTCAGTGAAGATATGGTGAGAATATTGTCTCTAACTTCAGAGTAAACCCTCTTTTTTTGAGAAAAGGCTTTTGTCACATTTTTTTGTGTCATTTGTGACAAATCTGAAATGAGGACGGCACAGGAGTGAATGTATGGGTGCTTCTGAGCAGGAATATCTTTTAAGGATGCTAGGTCTTAAAAAGGAAAACACACCTGACACAGAAAAATTTAAAAACACTTTCCCTTTCTAGTTTTACTTGCCTCACTTTCATTATTGTCACAGGGTTTGGGAGGAAGAAAACAATCTCAAAAAAAAATAGTAGTAGTCTTAAATCCTGATCTGTTTACTTCTCCTGTCCCACCTGCCTTTAATGGATTCTCTGTGGTCCTATGTCTCGATCCTTCTTGAGTGTATGTTCACAATCCTTTAGTGGTAAATATTTTGGTAGGTTGTGAAAATAAGTCTCAGGATGCTGGGACAGGACTGGAATATAGGTTTTATTTTTCTTTCCTGTTGTGCTTCTCTAATGTTGTTCTGTCAAGTTTTTGGCCTATTTGGGTTGAAAATATTAAGCTGATAGTTGAGGTAAATGATCTGTTATGGAAAGATTGGAAAGGGATGTTTTAGTTTCACAACTCTATCATTGTCTTCCACTCTGGAGAAATCTTCAGGCATAATTTCTTTACATAAACACAAATATTAATTTTGAGGGGAGGTGTTTTTATTTAGATACTAAAGGATGATAGTTGAGGTAAATGATCTGTTATGGAAAGAGAAAGGGATGTTTTAGTTTCATGACTCTATCATTGTCTTCCACTCTGGAGGAATCTTCAGGTGTAATCTCTTCACATAAACACAAATATTAATTTGGGGGGGAGGTGTTTTTATATAGATACTTCATCCTTTAGTATGTTAATAACAAAGTGGATGCTAATAATCTTCCAAGGTAGAAGATAAGTCTGTGAGGAACCTGTGTTCCAAAACCAGTTTCAGATGCAGTAGTCAAAAAAGCTTTGTTCAACTTACTACTAAGTCTTCTGTGAGGAACCTGTGTTCCAAAACCAGTTTCTACTAAGTCTTCAAGTAGTGCATAAGCAAGAGATGCTACGATTTCTGCCTTAATGTAAAAACTTGTAACAAGCCAAACAAAACCTTAAAACCTCTGAGGCAAAACTACTATTCTTAAACTGCCCTAGTAAGCTATTTTTCTCTTCCTTTCCTCTCTTCCTGTGCTTAGTGTGGATTTCTGTGTATAAAATGAATGTTTGTTTCTCTTAAGGTAGTGTAACTCATACATACATTATTTACTGTGTTACAGGAGTCCCATGCTGCCCAGTTGCAGATCCTTATGGAATTTCTTAAAGTTGCCAGGCGAAACAAACGAGAGGTAACTTGCTTTGTGTTTCAGTGGGTGAAGTGTTATCTGCTGCTTCCTACCAGTTAATTTCTATTTAAGTGATGTGTTAGCCTGGCATCATCTCTGCAAAGAAAAAGGCAAGGCGCTTTTGGGGAAATCTCAGGCAAAATCAGGCAAGGCGCTTTTGGGGAAATCTCAGGCAGAGGACACATGGGTTTCAAGGAAAATCAATCTCTGTACATGTGACAGCTTCAATTTTTAATCGCTTGCCTTTTTTTCTCACACTAGTGAAGTGTGTGGGAAGAAGGGAACTTGAGGATAGAGATTCCCCAATTGTAAATTTACATGAAATTCTTGAAACAAGGTATTTTTTTCTGTGATGGGGAAAACTGAAAGATGGGGAAGGAGTGAAATTGTTGTTCTCAATTTTTTTTTCTTTTAGTGTATCAAATACTATGACTAATGCTGTGTCATAAAAGAATGAATATTCTGTGTTCTTTCATTATTTGTCTCAAAGTGAGTATCTTGAGGAATAAGAGAGGGTTCCATAATCCCATACATGGTCTTTCGTGATTTAGGACTTTAATTTTCTTATTCCTAGTATTTAGTGTTATTCAGAGAATTTCAGAGCTTGACCCATCTTGACTGCAGAACTAATACAGGCCCTGGCCGTTGTCCATTGGCACTCATTAAATGCCTTGCACTGAATCCCAGTGGAGCTTGAGGCACCATTAAGATATTGGGGAAGTTTCCTGGTAATGCTGCCTTTATCTAGGAGGTGAGTTGAGAAGTAGGTGCTTCAGGAGGTTCATACACAGCTTAGTTTGGGTGCTCTTCCTTGAGTAGTCCTGTGGTCATTCAAATGCAAGGGTGTTTGGGGCAGTACCGTGAAGTCAGTGCTGACTTTTTTCTCCTTCCCCAGCTGAAACTGAGTTAGAACAACTTTCACAGAAGGAGGGGCTGCTGATACCTACTTCTTTTTGCATGTGCTGAGTGGAAAGGATGAAAGGAAAGGAAATTGCATAGCTTCTGCTTTTTAATGTACTGTAGCACAGTGTTGCACCCCTATGACTATGATTTTCAGCACCTGGGAAACCTTTCACAGCTCATCTGTATCTGCCCTTGGCTTTAGTAATAATGTACAAGGATATAATGTCTTTTAAGGCTAAAGGAACTTAATTTTGGCTGCGTGTCCTCCGAACTCAGCCGTGGGAACATCCTGAAGCCTATTGGGACACCTAGCTTATTTCAGATCCTATCTGTCCCTGCTTTTGTGTTCCCTCTGTTGCCCAGACTTCCTCTGATGTTATTTCTTACCCCTCTTTATATTCTAATGTGAAATGCAGGCCGTCACATCTCAAAACACTTTTGTGCAGGCCTGTAAGTTCTGTCCTTGCCATAGTGGTTAGCGTCTGGCCTTGCAGTTTATTTTGAGGGCAATGAGGGCCTGTCAGACTAGGTAGCTATCTTACTTTTCAGTGGATAAGGATAAGAAAGATGAGAACCAGGGCAGAAGTGTGGAAAACATGGACCAGTGATTAGGATAGTTTTAGAAAGATACCAAAATCTGTATTCAGCAGTCAAGCTATAGCCAGTCAATGCTTCCTTTCCAGCAAGCCCTGAGGTCCACCCTGTAGCTGGTAGAGTTTGTGAGGAGTACTCCTTTCCTGAGGGAGTTTCCTGTGTGGATAATAAAGGAGCCACTGTTTGTGAAAGGGCATGAGTTACGCTGGTGGTTAAGAGGTATCCAGGCTGCAGAAGGCCTGAGGTGCTAGTTTGAAAGCTGAGAAGAGAGGTTTAGGAGGCCACCTTAATGCAGTAAAGCAGAGGAGGGTTATCAGAGCTTCAAAGTTTACTTTTTTTTTGATGCTGTAATAGATGACTCTAAGAAATAAGGATGGAACTCGAGAAACACATGTGGACCTTGGAATGCTGCTGTGATGTACTGCACATAGCCATGAGTCATATGAGCAGGCTTTATTATGTGGAGGAACACTACCTTTTTTTCCTTTACTAATTCAAACCTGCTTCTAGTAAAGATGGCTGCAGAGTAATGGCAGTTTCACTCAGTAAGCCATGGCTGTAACATTAACTTCTTTAAAAAAGCAAAAAAAGCTTATTTTGTGTATGACTAAGAGTGCTTGTTTCAAATTTTTTGGCTTAAATATTTAAAGGAATGGAATATTGCCTAGTAACTTTGTGTCCTAATATGCCTCTTTGAGAATTATTTATTGCATGATTTTTATTAACAGGTTTTATTTATTATGTACTGCAAGTTCTTATATGGAGAGTAGATACTTTGTTAGTTAATACAGATATTGCTTTAGAGTTAGTGTACCTGTATAATAGTTCATAAAAACATGTTCAGAGCGTATGGTTAACCCCCTCCTTGCTTACTTCAGTCAAGTTTTGTGGGCTGTTTTTCTCCTGCCTTCATGAAATAGTGACTTCTGGGCTTATTGGAGGGGGTTCATATCTAGGAGAAAACTGTATCTTTATAGACTTAAGAATTCAGAATATTACTGTAGTCAAGTATTTTGACAAATGTCTCTTTCTTGCACTTTCATCATTTCTCTAAAAGATAAATGTGAGGTTCAGCACCTGCAGAAGTTTCTATTAGAAATCCTGTTTTGACGTGTTCATAACTTTCCAAAACATTGATCTTTCGAGCTGAAATTTACTGTAGTTTTTTGTACAAAGGTATTTGCAAGTCCTTTTTCTTTTAAGTTTCTGTATTTTGTTTTCTTTTTGACCTATGGCAATGTGGCAAAAAAACAAATCCTTGGCAATAGTAATAGAAAAAATGTTCCTGCTTTGAAAAAGATTGAAAACAAATGGCTAAAGCTTGAAAATACTTTTTCAACAAAATAAGAGTTTTGGAGGGGAGAAATGTATTGATCATCTGCAATAGTTGGTTGTCTAAGGCAAACTTAGTGTGGCTGTGTGCCTTTCCATGTGTGTGCACAGTTAATTGAATGCACACTCCCCACCTTTTTTTTTTTTTTTTTTTTTTTTTTTTTTTTTTTTTTTTTTTTTTTTTTTTTTTTTTTTTTTTTTTTTTTTTTTTTTTTTTTTTTTTTTTTTTTTTTTTTTTTTGGATCCAGCAGTCTCTTCTGTTGAAATCAAAGATCCAAGGGGTCTGGAAGGTTAAATTTAATAATGAAAATACTTGATTTTGTGGGGTTTTTTTTATTACTGTTTTCAAGGGAAACCAAATGCAACAACTTGTGACTTTTTTAAAATTCATATTTCATGCCAGAGTTTTAATTCTGTTAGCTTAGCTGTGTTACATAAATACTTCTGCAAATTTAACTGTGTTTACTTTTACATGATCACATGCTCTTTCATCTTGAAAACTTTGTAAGAGAGCTGATATCAGTTAATGCAAAAAAAATTCTCCCTAGTTTTATAGTCTTGTCCTGTGAGGATTTGAATGTTACCAGATGAAGTTAGACACCACCGTATATATCATATATATAATTTGTTGTAAAACATTGCTGGCTCAGCTACCTGATGGATAGTGTTATTTCTGTGGAGTAGCACCATTGCTTACTGAAGGACAATATTGAGCTTAACAATTAGTACCACAAATCAAGTTCTACAACATACAGGTGATATTCTTTAAAATACATTCATACTCCTCTTGGCAGCTGTTGCTTCATTATTATGTTTTCTGGGCTTTTTCTTTCTAATAATATTGTATTAAGTCTCTCATCTCTAACAAACAAGACCTCTTTCATGTCTGCTAATTCAAGGGAGCTGTTTTCACCTGGTAGACATCCTGAGACAGAGAAGTAATCCTGAAATGTCTCAGGTTTGCTGCACTGAGTGCCTGCTCTGTATTTAAGAATAATATTCATTCTATTCAACTTCAAATGTACGTATCTATCCAGCTGTCTTCACTTACTCCATATTGTGAGCATGTTAAATACTAAAAAGAAGAGAAGTTATTAGTTATTGTGGGATAATTGCAGGGAATTATAAGCATGAGTTCTCCAGGGATGTCATTACCTTGTGTTAATCACTTCACCTGTCATTGTTCTGTGCATACACACATGGATGAACTAATGAGTAAGCAAGAGGAGGTGACAGAACTAGAAATCAGTCATGCTCTTATGTTGTCATATAGTCTTGATTACGTTCCAGGACTCCTGAGGTGAATTTATAGCTATAGTAATCTCTTTTTATATCCACTGCACTTAAATAACTGGTATTTTAAATCTATTTGCATTTCTAATCTGCTCAATGGGAGATGTGAGCTCTGACTGCAGTGATGATAAGCCAGGGATACAGCTACTCTATAAGCAGCAAGCTAGAGATTATCGTGTAGACATCAATGTATAATAGCTGACCCGCCTTACTGCAGTGGGGAGGTCTTTCCAAAGAAAGAGAGGGCAACCTACTAGGAGCTAAGCAGCATGTACAGTGATGTATTAAACTCTAAGGCAATTAATCTAAATATTTAGACAGCTTTGTTCCCTGCCCCAGATATCTTTCTCTTGTGACGCTTTTCTATCAGACTCTATCAGTAAGCCTTCAAAGCATTACTCCTGCAACCCAAACTGGAGGATTTAAATCAAAGGGGGAAAATTCAAGATATGAAACATATTTTTGATCAGCCAGGCATCTCCTTGCTCCTACCCTTAGGAATTCTGTATGTTAAACAACTCAACGAGGATGTCATTCTCAACTTTCTGCTAACTCTTCTTCAGCTAAGAGGAAATGTTTACCATTTAAAGGAAGTATTGATCAGAGAGAGGAAATATTCCCTGCAGATAAATCTGTTATAGATGGACTGCCCATGTGTCTAAAAGGCTTAGATGCCACGTTTCACCAATGAAAGTGACTTGCAGAGGCTCAGGTGTTCTTGTCTTCACACGGAAAGAATCCTTGCACCTCTTCCACTTGTGCAAAGACTTAGTAACAGTGAAGTTCTATGTCAAAATAAGTGAGATGTGCAATTAATTTAAAAGGCTAAAATCTCTCTGAACTCTGAAGATTACTTCCTTGCCATAGTTGCCCTGTGTGTTGTAATAGGCTCTGTATCTGAAGCAATAATGGAAGGAAAACCCAGAGACAGACAAGACTCCCAACATGTTTCCAGAGAGAAATTGATCTTGCTGTGGTGTTGTTGGTGAGGTATTGAGTTCTATGGTAAGAAATTCATTTCACTGAGTACCTTCAGGAGAGGTTCAGCTGTTGATACTTAAGTTTACACTCAAGTTTGTTAGAGGAGTAGTTGATGGAAGAACAAGAGGTAGGAAGGGATCATGTTGGATGGATGAAATTGTGGGATAGAATGAAGATATTATCTACAGAGACTACCTGACTTATCCTCCTCATCTGGACAGGTGATATTTTTCACTCCATCCTGGTTGGCTATGTGTGTCTGAGGAAAAAAGTTGTTCCCTCTGGTATTAGTCTTGTCTGTTTTGGTCTGCAGCATATATTGTGATGAATATACATCGAGGGGTTTAGATTGGAGCCTTGATGATGTGTGATTGAACATAATGCGACTTGCGACATTTCGAAAGTGTGAATGCTCTGTTTAAGCTGCTCAGTGCAATAGTGTTGGTGTTTTCACAGTATTTCTGTAGAAAATAACTTCTGCTGTTCTTTGCTTATGCTTTTTCAAGAAGTGGAAAGGCAGTTGGTGAAGGGTATATGACTCCTTCCCTCATGCATTTTCTAGGCTGTCTCTGGCACTGGGAGGCTCTGAGCTTTTAGTTTTTTGCAAACATTTTGAACTGGCACTGGGAGACCCAGTCAGGACTGCTTTCTGTCCGTGCTGTACAAACACAAAGGATGAAGTCACTGCATCCTGAGGGGCTCTCTGTCCAGGAAAAACAGGAAGCCTGAGGATGAAACCTCAGCACTGTGCCCAGCTATGCTTGTTAGTAGATAGCCAACTGAAATCAAACTGAACATGACCTGGTATTTAGCATTGTGTAAGTTCAAATTAATATTTCCACCCAGGAGTCTTATGTGGAAATTCAGTACAGCGGGGTTTCTCTGTCTCTGAGCAGCTCTAAACAGGGGGTTTCTCTTCATCCACATAGTCCAGGGCTGAGATTTGTCTCTGAAGAACTCTGTATGTGTGTCTAAGTTAGCTTCAGACTTAAACTAGAGAGTTTTCGGGGGAACAGCCTTGTGGTTGTGAAAAGGGTTTGGATCTGAAAGTTTACCTAAAAAGAATGATATAAGAGCCTGCGTTTCCCTCTGTGGTAGGTTCTTGACTTGAATGTCTGAAAACCATTTTCCAGAGCTCATAAGGAACATAAGCTATTTTGAGGTCATAATTTTTCTTCTGTATTTATGTGTTTGTGTGTAATGGGGGACCAGAACTTTATACACCAACTAACTGTAGTTTATTCAGTGGAGTTGAAATCATGAGGTTTAACTGCTGAATTGAAGCCTTGCCTTCTCCTTGTCCACATGGGCATCTTCAGTTCTGCAAAAGCATCTGTGTCCGAGAAGAGTTTATAGTATGTGCTTCTATTTTAGCATACATTTCAGTGTTCATTCTAAGTGTTTTTGCTGACTTAATCTGAAGTTTGACAGGTGTGATTCTGCCCATCATCAGGACAGGACTTGGCTTGCTTTCTGTGCCCAACATAGTGAAAATCAAATTAAGGGCCCATAAATCTGGATATACTGCAAGGACTATAATTCATTTGGCTTTCCTTAAATGTCCCTCAGTGGCTGGCAATTATAAATCAGTAGTCTCATTTTTCAAAGTTTAATTGGAATGAATGTGGACTGATTTAAGGTCTTTGAAAAATTAAAGCTAAACCATGAAATACTTGAGCCAATGTAACAAAAAAAAGTCTCAATATGTGCATTAGTAATTCATTTGATACTGACAGTATAAGAAGACTTTTCTTAACATAGGCATGAAACACACTTGGGTACTTTTTAGACTTGCTACTATCAGGTAGGTTTATGGTACATTCAAATTGCTTGCCATAATATAACTGGAAGGAAGAATTAATATATGAAGCCCTAGATCTTGTACTTCTGACTTCTGTGCAGTAGTTAATAAAAGCTGGCCAGAAAAAAATGTCTCTGCTCTTGTCCCTATAAAAGGTCTCCTGTTTGTGATGGCAACAACCGTCATCTGTTTTTCTGTTGTCCAGTTTGGCTGTAAGCCAGCAGCACATTGTAGATAGCTCTTTTCCTTGCTGTAATTTTGGAACTTCTAAGTGTTTTTGTAACTTCTTTTTAAATGGGATTTATGAAAGCAGGGGACTAATGGTATTTGTCTGCCAGAGCTGAGCGCAGGCAGGACTCGGGCTCTGGAAGTGTCACTTAACTTCACCACTAATCTTGGAGCTATAGCACCACCTGCTATTCTTGCTTTAGGTGTTGCAAGTGAAAATGGAATTATCTGTTATGGTGTAGTGGTTTGTAAATTATCTGTGGCAGTCTAGTTTTAAACTATTAAACTTGTGCTGTCTGTGACTCAAATCAAATAAACTGAAACCTTCAGAGCAGGAAGATTAGGATATGAACACAATGTCATCTCATTCTAAGAAAGGAGCAGCCATGTTAGAAATAGGTGTGGACACATCAGTCATTTCTTCTCCTGCCTTCAGGGACAGAAGCTTTTTTCAATGTTGAAAAGGTAAATTAAAATTAAAGCAGAGCATACAGACATTTGGAATGTTGATCAATAGCAGGGGTTTAAGTGGTGGGTGTGTTTTTGTTTAAGCAAAACTTTCTGCCACTTAAAGGATTAAGCTTAAGCACTTGAGGGAATAAGTCTTTGGGAACAGCTTGCCAAATGTTCTTGGGAATATGTCATTCTAAGAGTAATATGTCTTGCAATACTACTAACTTTGGATTTGGGCAATTGATACTACCTTGTAAATTCAAAATGACAAAAATTTGTCTGGCCTTTAGAGAACATGTTGTGCTTAATAAGCTTTCAGTGGACTTGCCAACTTGGTAACAGCTTCTGGTCAGATGCCACAGTGCTAGTTGTCAGTAGATTTTTATTTTTTTTTATTGTGAGTTGAGGAGAGTCAGATGGACTTTCAGTTCTCAATGTATTCAATAGACTTGTGCATCTTACTGAACCAGACTCGCCTTGGACTTGAGATTTTTCTGTTTAGATCCAGAGTTGGAGCTCTCACCTGGAAAAGTGCGTGTGTTTGAGTCTTGCAAGGCTGGGTATAGTTTGTGTGGATGTTTGGGTGGGACACATCTGCTGGATGAGGGTGGGAGTTACAGCTGGTAAGCAGATGATGCTCTTGCTTAAGGGTAAGCAGTCACCAAGTCTGTGGCTTCACAGTTGCTAGAGATGAGTGAAGGTGACTGAAAAGTAAGTTCAAAAACCTGACACAAAGAAGGGAAAAGGGCTGTTGACTGGTGAGAGGGGAAGTCCCCTTCTGACCCTTTCAGGGGTAGCCCTTGGATTGACTGGAGTTTAAGGTGTAATCCATGGTAAGTATCACACCTTTGAAAGAAATGCCACGTGGTGCTTGCTTGGTGCTGGAGCAAATGTCTCTGGTCATAAGAGATGTTTGCCAATCTGAAAATGTTGTCAATAACTTTAAATTGGTTATTGGCACGTAAACTGCTAGCGTGAGAAATACTCTTAACACCTTTTAGCAAAGCATTTCATGTTTTGTTGAAGGGTGAAACGATCACAGTTTAGTTCATGGTGGTTTTTTTTCTAATTATGTTCAGTGTTTGTAAACCAGTTATACCTTGCATGGAAGATGTTAGAGCATAAAAGTATTAGTTTGAATAACGTGGGTCTCTTTGTGATTGATATCAAAGTACCTCCTGCTCATTTTTGTACTATTTCACAATAGCAACTTTGTCTTGAATCTGGTTTATGTGCACACTTGTGTTAATCTGTGCCTACAAACTTCCTGCCTAGTGACTTTTGAGTCGTGTAGCACACTAGTTAAGATAGTTCAGGTTCCTTTCTGAAAAGATTGTAATTTATCTTGGTGGTGATGCAGAGTGCAGATTGATTTAGACTTTTCCCATTCTCTTATCCACAGCAATTGGAGCAGATCCAGAAGGAGCTAAGTGTTCTGGAAGAAGATATTAAACGAGTAGAGGTGAGGTGCCCAGACATTGTTCTGACTCTGGCAATTTTTCACTTTCATCAAGCTGTCTGCCTTGCTGTGGGGCTGCTGTGTTAAATTTATGGCATTTGAGTCAGTAATGGGAAAACGAACAGATGATGGTCTTTCTTTAATTTGTTCATTTAGGTGATGCCTGCAAGTTGCAGGTTGGTAAGAGGGGTCTTTGTTGAAACCTAGCTCTTATATAATCATATCTTTCAATTTGTTTGTGTTGGTACTAAGTATTTTAGAATAATTGCTGGAAATCAACAGCTGGTGTATTGATCATAACTAACAACTTTGGTGCGTTGCAGTGTTCTGGCTATTTTCATGGGCTATTTAAATCTTAACAGATTGCCACTCTTCAAATGGAGAGGTATTGGGGGGGTGCACAAGAGAGCTGTAATAGAGGGTCTGGGTAGGAACAGTACCAGCTCCTGCTGCAGGTCAAAACAGAAGGAATCTGTTGCCTCCTGATACAATTTTCTTAATTCCTTAATGATGGGGCTCTCTTGAGATTTTTGTTAAGAACTATTCTCCAAGTATTTGTAAACCCATCAGTTCAATCCTTTTGTCCTTATTGACTCCTTAGGTTCCTGGTTGGTTTTTTCTCTAATCATTCTAGTGTTTTGATCTTGGAGTAGGAAATCAGTGTTTCAGGAATGCATCAGACTGCCACCTCTCAAAATAGCATTCCCTTAAAGCTTCTTGGGAATCAGTCTGCAGGCCTGCTTCTCTCTTCTTACTCATCTCAAGCAGTCAGCATGAGCTCCCAGCCACTGCCCAAAAGCCTTTTGGATTTCTTTACTTCCGATTCATATGCATGCTGATAAACTATCAAAATATAAATAGAATTGACAACCGCAGGAACTTCTCTTCAGCTGATAGCTATGCAAATTGTAACTTGGTAGATAACAGCATTTTTCAGAACTATTTCCTTAAATGTTTCTCAGTTCTTGGGAAATAAATACACCTTAGCGTGTTTCCTTGAGACTGGGGAAAGTAAGTCTTCAGATCTAGGAGAAGCTATTCCCAAAGCTGTGGGATTCCTCAGAGTATCTAGCTCCCTGCTTTTCTTGCTCTTCAATCAGGTGCTTCAGTGGACTGCAGCTGGGGTACGTATCTGTTGTGTGATAGTGACCTTGGTTCTGACCTCTAAAGCCTGGGATAGCTCTCATAACAAATATCCTACTTTCTGCCTAGCAACTAATGGGCACCTAGTGGGAATTTGAAAAAGCACCAGTAATGTTGTCCTGGAACACTTTGCCCCCCTAACTAATGAGCTTCAGCATCCTGCATAGCTTCCATTTCTTGAAGAGATGAAAGGTACAGCCTCATACTGGGTACAGAGCAGTGATTTAGTCTGGCAGCAACAAAGCCAAGTTGATGTGTCAAGTTTCCCTTGTGCACTTGCCCCACAGAAGATTGATAGATCCTCTTTTAAGTCTAGAGCACGATACCACCTTTGCCCTGTCATCTTGTGACTGTTCTTGCCATGACCAGCATTACTTTCAAGTGCAAAGGCTATTAGGTAAAAGCTTGCACCTATCTCAAATGCAGTTACAGCTTGCTTGTTCTGCCATGTTTAAGGGAGGTGCTGGGTTAGAGACAATTGAGTGGTAACCAAATCCATTGACTTTTGGAGTATGAACTTCAGAACTGCCTCTTTGGGGGCAAAAAGCAGTTGGAGGATTTCTGAAACCCAGTTTGAATCATAATAGGGGAAGAAGTCGTCTAAGAAAACAAATGTTTCTTTGGGAGTAGTAAAGGTTTCTAGATGAGAGTTGAATAAATATAGATGCAGTTGGTTATCTGCTTGGAAAACAAAAATTACAGTGCCTGCTACTCGTATTTTTGTCAGCTTTGCTGTAATGTGGCTTTTTCTTTCAGGAAATGAGTGGCTTGTATTCCCCGGTCAGTGAGGACAGTACGGTGCCGCAGTTTGAGGCTCCCTCACCTTCACACAGGTATGGAGCTTGCAACTCAGAACTTGGATTTCAAGCTGTACATATTCCACTATACTTGCTAGTCCTCTCCATGCCATGCCCAAAATACAAGAAAAACTACTTTTTTTTAAGTGCCATACAATATTTTCCTGTTCTGTTTTTGATTGATGTGAACTTTATGCAAACAAAGTAGAGAAGAAAAAGCTATCTGAGTCTGCACTTGGATGAAAAGTTTCCTTTAAACCAGATGCTGTGGAAAGCTGATGGTTTAAAATGTAGTGGGGATTAATTAACTTGAGTCATAAGCCTTTGCTATGGTATGAAATATTACTGTTAAATACATGCTGTCTGAATGTTATGCGGTTCTGCTTGGCATATGAAAAGTCTTAACTTTGTATGATATTGGTGTGCTCTGACTTCCCCACTCAGTGTGAATGACTAAAAGTATGGGCTCACAGGATCAAAATTTAAAATATATGGCCTATTGATTCTGTTTATCTGCTGGCTGTTTTGATTTAATGAAATGCCTTTCTAGTAACCTATTTTCAACATGGCTTTTTTGTCTGGAATATTGTGAGTCTGGTTTCGTGATGATAAAATTGCAGATGCTTCTTGTGTCCAAGTTGCATGTGCCAAGGTTTGAAATGCTCTACTTCTTCATAGCGGTGTGTTTTGATTGTAAGAAAGCTCTGATTTCACAGGGTCAAGTTTTTAATCTCTCCTACCTCTTAATATTTCTCTAAACTGTTGATGTCTCTTATAAAATTGTACTGGTACCTTTTCTGCAATTAGCAGCTTTAAACCTAATAGCCCAGAAGTAGGTAGGAAAAAAATGATCAGATTTCCTCCCTGACAGAGATCTAGATACAGTGCTCTGGTAAGGAGCCCGGCAATGTTGCCTGGGATTTCTTACCAATATGTTATTTCTGGACACCAAGACCAGAATCTTAATTTTTTCTATGAAGCTCTGACTGGCCCAGGGGGAAAGGACAGCAGTATGGCTAGGATGGATGGGAATAATGTCTGTTACTCTGCTCTTGACTGCTTGTTTAATTTTTTTGGGTGCAGATGTGGGTTTTTTTGATGTGGGTTACTGCTGTGTTGCCAAGAAGCAGTTTTGTGAAGCTGATGAGATTCTTGTCGGGTTCTACTAGTTTTCTGATTATTGGTTATTAAAAAGATCACTTGTTGCTTGCTTCATGGTACTGCTGCTTGGGGAGAACTTGAGCACTGGGCTGAATTTCTTACGTGTTGAATGCCTTCAGCCCTTCAGCCCTAGGAATCTTTATTTTTTTTTTTTTAACAGAAGATTGTACTCATGAGTAGAAATGTGTCTCTCTTACTTGAGCCAAGCTAACAAACAAGCTCCCAAATAACACTTTTTTTTTTTTTTTTTTACCTGATGAAAGCTAGAAGAGCATTTTAAGCCCAAAAGTTTTGGTGAAAGAGTTGCAGGGGGTGTGGTGGGGAGGGAGGTGGAAATCTGCTGTGACGCCTACACTGGTTTCAGTCTACTGATAATTTCATACTATTCCTTTAAGCCTGATCATTTCATGTCCTAGTGTCAATCATTCTCAGTTCTTGTGTTTGAAGATGTAAGATAGTGTCCAGAATATTTTAGTGACTTTGGATTGGTGTACTTCACCCAAGGGTCTGCTGGGAGCTGGCCAGGTGAGACCATGGCAGGTGCAGAGACCACGGGCTCTTTCTTGCCTGATCTTCTTATGCTTGTCTGGTTCCATCTTGGGTATATCTTGAACCTCTGGGGTTTTCCTCTTACAACATATTAGGGGTGTGATCCCCTCAACATCCTATTATATCTGGGTTGTCTTTTTCTCTTGGCTTGAAAAGACTGTTTCTCAATGACATTCCTGTGCTGAGGAGTAGTCTTGAGTGGTTGAAGAGAAAATAGTACCTAAAGGAAGTGTCTGAACAGACATCAGTCATTTCCAGACTCTTGTAACTTCTGTCCCTGCCCTGTTCTGACAGTTTTGTATAATTCAAGTAATTGAATTGATTTGAATTACCAGAATCCAGATTCCAGAAAGGTCTATCGCTTGTAACTTATTCTCTTTTCAAAATTAAATGTAGGTTTCAGAGAGTATCTCAGGCTGTAACTTTGATTCCTCCTTGGAAAGAATGCTGCAGAGCAGCTGATAGGAGCTTTAAAATATGCTGATTTTTTTTCAGCTCTGTTAACTGAAATATTTAATCTCCAAAGTGCATTTTAGAGATGCTGTGAATCACTAAGAATGAAATACAAAGATAGCTTGGGATGGTTTCACTTCCATCTTGAAATGTTATTAAACTTGCAGATAGTTATTAACTTATCAGTGAATTAAAATGGTATCTTTAAATTGGAATATAACTTGTTAACATGCTTAACACCCTGCTAATGTAATATAATTGTATAAAATTTTACTAATGTGTCTTATAAATAGTACAAGTTTATCACAGACCCTTGCTGAGATGAAGAAAGACTTCTTAGCCTTTGAATTTAAAGTTCAAGAAAATAAGAGTTCTTTGGTATTCAGTTTTATCTGGTCTCTAGTGACTTGCCCTTATTCATCTACTTCCTCTAAATCACAGGCTTGCTTCATTAATTCTCTGCCTCTTTTCATTGTTTGTAGCTTTTTTTTTTTGCTGCACTCCTACCATCTTCAAAATATGAAATTACTATGCCTCCCCATCTTCCTTCATAAGTTCTTTAACAAAAAACCTAAGTATGGCTATCATGTTCAATGCATTCTCAGCTTCAAGAAACACGTGTTTTCTCTTACGCTTGTGCGGGGTATGATGAAATATTAAATTGGGTAATGGCACAGCACTTGTTTACAGCCTTGTAGATTGCTGGGCTTGTATACTAATAGAGAACAAGAGGGGAAGAATAAGGGAAGAGAACAAATAGTTCTGTTTTGGGTTTTTCTGAACAGGCGGGTGTGCTATTTTTGCTACCAGTAAATGCTGCAAACAGGAGATACGAATAAGCAACTTCTCCATGACTGCATATTCAGGCAGTAACAGCAATAATAAACTATCACTCTAATAGGAGTTTCTGGGGAAAGATTCCGATCTAAAAATTGGTTTCCTGGTAACTCTGATTCAGTTATCGCAATTCTGATCTATTTCCCCTCCATTTGTTCTAAGTACCCCCTCCCGCCCCCGTAAGGGTATAACAAATGGGATTTATAGACTGTGGGTTGCTGCTTTTTTGTTGTTGTTCTTCCAGCTTTTTTAATATGTCGTGTTAGTGTAGCTGAATTTTCTAATTGACCTAATGTTGCAGCTTTTTAAAAAGAATTCAGGAGGAACTTTTGTAATTTTCTGATTATTTCCATCCTGTTTTTTAAAAGGGAGGAAAACATTCAAGCATTTGCCAGTTAACTCTGCTACAGGCACCGCACAGAAATGACTTGGAATTTGTATTCTGGTTAGGGAGATGACGTCTGCACTCTTGAAGGTTTTACATCACCAGACAACCTGCAGCAAAACGAGACCAGACGCTCTAAGTCTGTGTATTTTGCTGTTAATTGCCACAATACCTGTCTCAGAATGGAGTACTTTTTCATTGCTTTCCAGCTGAGCATCTTACTCATGCAGGATCTGCTGTATGTGTTTCATTATTTCGTGCGGCCACATTCTAATTTAAAGTTCATTGTCCCCAACCATGCCTGAAACAGCTCTGCTGTTTTCTCCTTTGCAATAGCTTGCAGCAAGTAATGATTTTTATCCCTCAGATTTTCTTGGTTTTCAGCTTTTGTCTTGCCTGTAACAGAAGCCGAATCAATCTCCTCTTACAAGTTAACCACTAATGAGACTTTAAAATCATCTCTCATCTTCTGTTTCTACTTCCCTCCACCTCCAGGGGGGCTTCAAACATTCAGAGAAATATTGAAGCACTGGTACCACCGTTTCATGCTTCTAGACTTAACAGGTGCCCTGACCAGCATTTTATCCAAACCACTTGTTTTATGACCAAGAATGTCAAGTCTATGCATCAATTCTGGCAGCTGTTACATAAACATCAATAGGTACAATCATCTTTTACAAAACCAGGACCTATAGCAGTGTTCTGGCAGCTTTTTAAAGAGACCTTCTGCTTTCCCAAGCAATGCTTAAATCTAAGGTTACCTCGTAAGTAAGACTGAGAAGAACAAAGCCAGATAACTCCTTTTCTGTCCAAGCCAAATGACATAGCAGAAATGAGTTAAAGATTTTTTAGAAACAAATCATGGTGGTGTTTGTAATGTGTTCTCCATAATAAATTATGTTCTTGTGTACGGATCTTTACTTATCCTAAAAATATTTTAAATTTGATGGATAAGGGTGCTTTAATCTGACTGTCTTACTGTGAGAGCTAAACATGTGCAAGAATACTGAATGCCCTGTTTTCTGCTTAGGCCAGAGATCCTTTTGCAGTTTTCAAAGTTAAATCTCTTGAGTTTGTGTATGCTGTGTGTTCAAAACAGTGATTTAAGGTGTGTTATGTCATAGAACTATGTGGCTATATAAGGTGTAGCATTTTCTAATAGTAATCCTGGCTGTCAGTATATTTTTTTTTTAGTTCTGTGTTTCATTACTTGTGTCTGTTTTGTGTGTCTTCAGAGATGTCTGCAATAGTAGCTTCTGTCTTAAGCTGATTCCTCCAGCTCTTTTCACAGAGCTGTTTCAATTGTTATGGCATTAAACTTTGTTTTTTGAAAGGAACTGAAAACCAATGATAGCATGTTATTTTCAGAATGTCTTATCCTGCATATTTCATACAAAAGATGTGCTTTTGCATTCTAATTACAAATTATTAGATTGCACTACACATAATTGTGTGTGACAGCATTCTGCTGCAAGATCCCTAGCTTTAAAAAAAATGAAAAATAAAAAAAAAAATCCCTCCCAAACCCCCAAACAAAAAAATAACCTTGTGTTCCCTGTCTGTAAAATGAATTTCGAAGGCGAGTATGCTGCAGGATGTAAAGGGGGGGGAATAACAGGTTAAAAATGATAAAGGATGATTGTACAGTAATTTAAACAGACTATTTCTTTTGGTTTTGCAGTAGTATTATTGATTCCACGGAGTATAGCCAGCCTCCAGGCTTCAGTGGCAGTTCTCAGGTAAGGAAATACATGTGTCTGCACGGGGGCAACGGGAGAGTGGATGTGGAGGTTGGGCAGAGATTAGGTACAGTTCCATTTATCTTCAGGGTACCAGTCAACAGGAGTCCTGCAAATGCTTTTAACTGGTTATATGGACAAACTGGAGCCAAGACTACAGCTGTAGGAATGACTGTGCATGATTGTGAGTGTCCACAGTGACGCCATCAAAGTAATCTGGTGTAATATATTTCAATACGTGACTTTATTCCCAAAGCTGACTCCTCTGCAGAAGAGGGAATATTTTTTTTCTCTTTGTCTCTTCTCCCAAGTGGGCAGCACTGGGGAAGGAAGGTAAATCCCTGACCCTTTCAGTTGACTGAAATAGCTTTGGATCAAGCTTGACTTTCCAAACAAGAAACATGAATTCTCCAAACGTACAGCTGTTTGTAGCTTGTCCTTGTTAGGGCTTTACAAACTGTGTTATAAATTCACATAGAGGGTAAAAAGTTGCATATACAGTGAAGCTGTTTGGCAGGCAGCCTCTGAAATGTCTGATCTACAGGGCTTCCTGAATGCCAAACAGCACAGCTACAGTTTTGCAGCTCAGAGTGATTCAGCTGGGCTGGGAAGATGACACTGGTACCCAGCTGACAGCTTCACAAAGGTTAAAGAGTTTTGATTTAGATGGACAGACTGACTGGTGGTTACATGTCAGCTTGTGCCTTTGGTGCTCTCTGGTGGTGGTGGACCATCCATGGCACGCAACTATGTCAAGCTGGTAAATAAAGTAGAAGTGTTGTTGCATCTTATTTGGTGGAGTAAAAAAACCACCAAAATTTTGGAGCTGATGCTCATGTATTTGTGCATGCAGGCTTTTTGGTTTGTAGCTGTATAATTAATTGGTGATTAGAAATTCCTCTTTATTAATCTTTAGAAAAATGCTTGTTGTTCCTGCTACTGTGGTCTGGGAGACTTTTGCCTGAATAAAAGATTCTAGCTCTACCTCAGTTCAGATGGCAAGTGAAATGTGGTTGGAGATCTTATGTTCAGGACTCTGATGTGGTATAGCGTGTCTGTTCCCCACTGACACTACTTGTCTCTTTTCTTTCTATTTCAAAGACAAAATTTAATAGCGTAGCTGTACTTCTGGTAAGCACACAGAACAAACAACTCAGACTTCCTAGTCATTCTGTGTGACAGCCTTACTTGTGTGAGAATAATCTTTTTTGTCCTCAAATGCAATTTTTTTTTCCTCAAGAGTGCAACTTCTCTCTAGTGCAAATTTTCAAATTAGACTGCAATATATGTTTGGATGGGGAGTTTAAAGAGAACCGTTGAAGTTAAACTCTTCATTGAAAGGTAGTTTAATATCAGCAAGACTTTTACCATGAAAATAGTTTGAAGAATATACATTCAATTGTGCTATTTTCTGACTGTTGGTCATGGCAAAAATTGTAGATTGGGCACTGCTGGCAGAAAGAAGCTATGTGAGGATGGACAACGTGGTAAGTATTTGCCTGCTGTGTGATACACCTGCTTGGGTCTCTGGAGGAAGATCTTCCCAGAGCAGGTCTCAGACTGGCACGTGACAGCCCAGCTGTGCTTGGAATCAATCTGCATTAACCCATCTTCATCAGATCCTCCCCAACTAAGCATTTTAAGCTGCTCATGTTTTATCAAAACATTTATTGCATTTCTGTGAAGTCTGCTCCCTGGTTAAGCAATACTGGGAAACAGGAGTTTAAACAGGACAGGAGAGAAAACATAGCCAAGCAATTTTTATTCAACTGCTAAAACTATTATGATTGTCCTAGTTGAGAACATAAATTAATGTATACTCTGTTGTAAAGTGATCTTTCTCAATATAATTACTTTGTGCATTGCTCATGAACATGTTCTTTGGGAAGAATTTATATACCACAAAGCTACAGGATGGTTTTCTTCCAGAAGCTGAGCTTCAGAAGTAAATAGTGGACAAGTCACATAGGCCCTGGGGAATTCTCTGGGTGGTATTTAGTGGCAGTACTTTCCTGCTAGAAATAAGGAGCTTGTGTGTAGCTGTGAAGCTTTTCTACAGTTGTTAGAGGACTCTTCAGAGCACCTAATGGAGTTCAGACACTAAAATCACACTCTTATAACACAGTAAAACGTGAGCAGCTTAAAATGCTTAGAGAGGATCTGATAGAGATGGGTTAATGCAGGCTGATTCCAAGCACAGCTGGATTACCACATGCCAGCCTGTAGACCTGCTCTGGGAGGATCCTCCTCTGGAGACCCACCAGGAGTATGGCACAGCAGGCAAATACTTGCCATGATTGATACCACCTTGGTGTGGACTGGGCTCAGATGGCAGATCAGACTTGGGCTTGGGTTAAAGCGCTTATTGTGTCCCAGGTTATATTGCACATCACGTCTGAAGTTGAGACTGAAGTGATTGCTCTTCGATGCTTGAAACCGTCTTGAGCCCTAATCACTCCTGATGTGCTGAGAGAGGCTGGAGACCTTGCAGGCTGCCATGCAAATATAATAGGAGGATGCTGTAAAAGTGTTCTGTTAAGTATTAGAACTGTGAAGTTGTGTTAGAAGGCTTTGGGGTAGGAGTGCTTTCCAGTGTTCTAGTTGTGTGTTGACACTGGAGTTGCTTTCAAGGTGAAACAAGCTGCATAAACCATAGGTGCCATCAACATGTAAGTGTGAGTCACAACGTCGATGTATATGTTGCCAGGGGCCTCATGCAGGAAGCAGCATCTGGAGGTTTCGTTGTTTGGGGCTTCCTTTTTCCCTAAAACATGACATTACTGTTCATACAGGTATAAACAGAATTTGAGTGGGCTCTGAACTTAGTTTCTTCTTGTTGGCTTGCTTGGTGGTTGTAACGAAGACAGCCTGTTCTCTTGTGCAGATTGAGTGGGAGTTGTACACGGAGTTGGTTTCGTTAGTGCCATTGAGTGACATTACGGACCTTGTATGTGGTCAGGGACGTTGTTCATTAGGAAGCTTGGTGGTTCTCAAATCTTCTAAAAATTCCCCAATAGCTTTGAGCGTGTGATACGTGAGTCTTCTTAAATACCAACTGAAGTGCTCTTCATGCTTCTTGTGTAGGAGAGGAATTGTATCCTAGTCCTCACTAGTGATTAAAATAGGTACTATATTTTCAGTGTTCCTTCAGGAAGACAGCATATCTATGTAGTTTCAATCCTTTGCTTTTACCTCTCACTATTAGTGCTTGGGTAGGTTGGGAAATAGCTTTAATGATGAGTTTCATAGACTTGTTTTCAATTAACCTTTGAACTTCATGGTGTCTTCTGCTTCTGTCCTAATTTGCTTAGCTTCATGGAGAGTTACGGACTTGCTTCAAAAGAAATAATCCAGTAACTAACTCCTTAAAATAAACACCACCTCCTCTTTTTAATGAGCTTTCTGCCAGGGATCTAGGGAGTATTTGTTGTACAGTCTGTTTGATTTGTGAAGCTGGAAGCCCCGTATCTTTGGCCTCTACTATCTATCTGTATAAATGCAAGACATGACTCCCCAAGGGTTGCTGCTGTCTGTCCTGCCTCTGAGGCTGGAATTAGTAGATTTGCAAAGGTTCAGGACACAAGAACTGTCTAAAAGCAGTTTTTTCTTGTTTGTCAAATTAAAAAGTGCAACTGAGGACCTTAAGAATAACTGTTGACAGTGTCAAGATTTTAACTTACTGTTGTTTTCCACTTCTGACCCTTCACATGCAATGTATAAATTGTTTATATATTTGGTAACATCTATTGAAATGAAACCCAGTCTTTGCTTTACCTTTCTGAAGTGTTCCCTCTTTCCACTCAGACCAAAAAGCAGCCATGGTATAACAGCACACTAGCCTCACGACGCAAGCGGCTCACAGCTCATTTTGAGGACCTAGAGCAGTGCTATTTTTCCACCAGGATGACACGTGTCTCAGGTGAGTTCCTCTTTCATCGTGGTGTTCAGCTTCTGACATCAGCTACCTCTTACAGTGCATAAGAGGCTTGCTTTTGAAAGAGTAACTTTCACTTCTTTCCTCCATGGGTACGTTGCTGTGTATCTTTGTGTTACTCAGATCATCCTGCTTTACTTTTTGTGTAACCAATCTTCAAGGTTGCTAAATTTAGAAAATTTCACCTTGTCACTATGGAGGGGCACATGTATTGCCGTGTAATCCTGTTCTGTGACAGGCATAATCTACAATAATCAATTTCACTGATGCTCCTTCTGTAGATGCAAATGTTTGAAAGCAGCGGTTGGGTTGTCTTTCTACTAGGTGTGGTATAAACACAGTAGGTAAAAACATGGCTATTAAAATGCTACACAGGTATAAACATAAATTGATAAATTCTCCTGTATTTAGCATGCAATAGGACACCTGAAGGTTATCCTTTATGTTGTCTAGATTGAGTCTCAGTTAACAAATGGCTTGCCGTGTAGAAGCTGAGTGTGCAGCAGTGGTGTTGTCCCATGGGGCACCTTTTAGATTTAAGGCTTGTTTTGTAGAATTAGAAGCTGTTTTCACAATTCCTAGATTGCCTCATTCATAATTGAGTAACAGTGTGACAGCAGCTAGAGTAATTGTTACCTAGTGGGTGAATGGTTCTTAATTACATGACAAGATTCTCTTAAGAAATGAACCGGTCGAATGAGTATGTTTTGAGGGTGAGGAGGGTTGCTCTGTGCCTCCTCTGGGAAAGAAACCAGCTTTGGGGGAAAAAAAGTTTCAGGCAATGGGCTACAGCAGGCAAAAAGTTTGCAGCACCAAGCTGCAGCTCATATGGAGAGTGACAGAATGCACTGAGGAGCAGCCAGCCCCCAGGGGATGGCAGAAACCTCCGAGGGACAAGAAGGGCAAGCAGGCAGAGGTTGCTGCAGCAGAATATCTTTATTTGTAACCTTGGAAGGCAAGAACCAACCTTCCAGGCACAGAGATCAGCAAGAAAGCTGGGGTAGAAACACCCACTTTTTTTTTTCTCTATGAATTTAAGTTTTATCCACTTTACAATAAATAAAAATAAGTCTTGAATACTAAATTAGCTTTAAGTTTAAAGGCTGTAATGTGTTTTTTGGGGGGGGCTCGGTCTTAGATAAGTCTACATCTTCTACCTACTTCCCAACAGTGACTGACTCGGGTCTCATCATGCACAGCAAGATGATTTTAACAAGGGGTGCAGCACGTTGTGAGGGTGCTTCAGCAGCTGGAAGATCTGAGAAGCTGGTTGTATGTGACCAGCCAGTTTGCTGTGCTTCACGAGTCGCTCTGAGATGTTTTCATGCAGTGCTAACTTGGTGATGCATAACTGTGTTTATGTTAAAATAATACTTAGTAACCAAGGATAACAAATGGGGCTCTTCCCAGCATTCCTTTCTAGAAGACATCTTTCTTCATAATTGGAACTATAAATATGAATGTGGAGAAACTACTTTTTTTTTCTATTCACGTGTTAGCTGCATCAAAAGTGGAGGACTTGCAAGTGCAGGTTTTTTTCCTAAATAAGGGATAACCTGTGATGCCTGACTAATTTTTCTTCTCTGGAGTCATTCCTGCTTTTTGACACATTTTAAATAGGATTTAATGTGGATTTAAAGCTTTCTGCAAGAGGTGCCTGTGACTGTTCTAGTAGGGAGTAAAGACATAGCTGTAATTATGAAATGGCCTTGCACTTTGACAGGGAAAATGTCTTGAGAAATAACATTCGGTTTTCCAGGCAGAGGTACAGAATAAATTACAAGAGGACTGTGTGTTTGATCTCTAAATGAGGGAAATGGAAGAGTAGCAGCTATTTGTTCCTATCAAAGTATTGAAGGAGGAAAAAGTCTTTGAAAACCACTGACTGATGTTTACATGCTGCTTCTTGAGCTGCTTCCTGTAGTGGTCAGGTGCTGATGATTTTAATTTGGAGTAGTACTTTGTTCATTTTACCCCTTTTGATCTATCTGACATGGGTAATGTATATTCTAGTGCTCTTAAACATGTTAATTACTAGCCTTCACTGGTCCTTTATACAATCAAGCATTAAATAGCATATAAGGGACACTTCAAAATGCCTTACATGTGTAAAGCAAGATAATTCCTTGCCATCAGATATTATTACCAGAGTGCGGAAAGTGATTACTCTCTCTGTGTTTTCCCACAAGAAATCACAGCTGTGTTTTACTTTTATAGAGCAACCTTTCCATTTTTTCAAGGCTGTGTTTCCAAAGCTTACTAGAGAGTGGAGCTTTGTCATTTCCTTATGCTGCTGATAAGGAGACAGATAAGGATGACTTAACTAGTGGGTGGAATTCAGTCTCAGCTGCGTGACCAAGTTGTGTATGGTTTCTGTCCTGCTGCAGTGGATGCTGTGGTTTAACAGGAGGCAAGGTGTGCAGGAATGTGATTTGCAAACTGGACTACCTGTAAACAAAAGGGGCTGTGTGTTAGTGCCATAGCTGTAGTTCCCTTACATTGCTGTGGTGCAAAAAGACAAAGAGAACATGGGATTTTTAGAGGAGGAAAGGGAGAATTGCTGCAAATTCTGGGAGTTGTTACAAAGCCTGAAGGCTCTGACTGCAGATGTATTATAGTGTTAGGAAGGCTGGCTTACCCATACTGCATCACCGTAAGCTAAGAATTTTTCCTTATTTAGGAAGTACTAAATTTTAAAATGATTTATATAAAATTGTGTTCATACTGAGAAAAATGGGAACTTTTGAGGAATCAGGGAATGACTTTCAGCTATCTGCATTGAAATTTAGTTTTAACTTTTGTAGTAAACTGTTCTGTTTTCCACAGAGTATTTATCATCATTATTCAAGCTGGCTCAATTTCATCTTGTCTGCTGGAGGTCATAATTTTCACAAAACTTATAGTACAGGGAGCCTTCTGGTTTCATTCTTGTCTTCCTTCTCCAGCTCTGAAAAATCTATTCCTTAGCTCAGTTGCTTTTGGAGTAACAAGACATTTTTTACTAGAAGTATTTTGAATGTAATTGACACCAAATGTAGACATGTTGTAACTGAAGTATGAGGCAAGGAATATACTTTCACCGCTGTAGATTATTAACAAAAGATCTTAAAGCGTATCAAAATGCACTGTGAAGAGCATGTCTAGTTTTCTATGTGGCCCATGGGCTCTGAATTCAAATAAAATAGGTGAGCTTATCTACCAGGAAAACTGTATTTCTCATCTCAAGGTAGATTCTCAGCACAGTAGGTTCACCCAGCGTTGCAGTAGAAAGACTTAATTTGTGCTCTGAAAAATCATACTGCCTTCACGGAGTGCTAGAGGGGAGAGAGAACCTGGGTTTTGACCGATAGCAAGCAAAGGTAGCGTTATGTGAAGACATACATCTTGATTTTTGTTTGCTGTTGAGTTCATCTTCTTACTCTGTTTCTGTTCTTCCCAATGGCTGCTGCCTCTCCCTAGATGACAGCAGAACCACAAGCCAGCTGGATGAGTTTCAGGAGTGCCTGTCCAAGTTCACGCGCTACAATTCTGTCCGACCCCTGGCAACGCTGTCCTACGCTAGTGACCTCTACAATGGTTCCAGCATAGTATCCAGGTGAGACATACTGCGGCTCTGACGGTGCATCTCATGCTGATACAAGCTGCAGAGGCTGACTTAATCACAGAATCTTCTAGGTTGGAAGGGACCTTAAAGATCATCTTGTCCAACCGTCAACCTAACTGACAAAAATAGACACCCACACAACAAACAAGGAGCATCATCACAAGTTATGCCTTATACATATATCAAACTTTGCACTCACGTCCAAAAAAAATAGCTTTTTGAATGTGTGATTATCATTGGTCTCTGAAGTCACTCAAATACCATAGTAGTGCCTTTTGTTTCCGTTGGTGTTGGTCAAGACCAAAGGCAGAACCTCTGAGGTGCCAGTGAGTATGTGGAGCTGTCGTGATAAAGCAGAAAGCCTGCTGTCACAGAATCACAGAATCTTAGTTGGAAGGGACCTCTGAGATCGAGTCCACCCACAAAAAACACAACAACAACAACAAAAAAAAAAACAAACCACCAAACGCTCACCAAAAACACCGCACCCACCAACTAAACCCCACACTCAACACCTCGCCATAAACCAATAACCTTGGGCACTAGAGCATGCCCTGAAGAGCCATGTCTATACGTTTCTTAAATACCTCCAGGGATGGTGACTCCACCACCTCCCTGGGCAGGCTGTTCCAGTGCCTGACCACTCTCTCAGTAAAGTAGTTTTTTCTAATATCTAATCTAAATCTCCCTTGCCGCAACTTCAGACCATTTCCTCTGGTCTTGTCGTTCATCCTTTGGGAGAAGAGGCCAACACCTGCCTCTCTACAACCTCCTTTCAGGTAGTTGTAGAGGGCAATGAGGTCTCCCCTCAGCCTCCTCTTCTCCAAACTAAACATGGCCAGTTCCCTCAGCCTCTCCTCATAGGATTTGTTCTCCAGACCCCTCACCAGCTTGGTGGCTCTCCTCTGGACACGCTCCAGCACCTCAATGTCTTTCCTGTAGTGAGGGGCCCAAGTCCTCTTAGTATAGTTGTGTTGTAAGTGATGCACTTCTAGCACTTTAAGAAACATCCATCTTGCTTGTGTTGATAGCTTTAAGAATTTGTGGTGGTTTTAAATATTGTTTGTGGATGCAGTTGTAATAGCAAATACTAAATAACTGAGTTGTTTGTGATTGCTTGAGCTCTTAAGGGTTGGAAGCTCTGTTTATTGTTCTCAACGCTAGTGAGGAGGTGGTTGCGGTAAAGCCAACTCGACAGCTCCATTCTTGCCAACAGCAGCTTTGTATCCCCTGCTGCGTGGGGTGGTCATGGTCTGTGCACCACTGCTAAAGCTCATCTGAACCTCCCATGGACCAGTTTGGACACTTAAGCTGGTTTCATGCTATTGACTTTCAACAGAATTCGTTTCTTCCAGTTTGGCTCCGTGAACCAACTCCCTTAAGGGCTAAAGAGAGCACGTGGGATATAGGGAGTGGCTGGGACCTGCTAACAGCCCTAACCTTAAACTGGTTTCAGCAGCTGTGGAAGCATGCCCTGGGGGATTTAATTAGTCTGTGGTAGCTTGTTTTGAGCTGGGGGTGGTGGAAAAAATGATGCTGCATGTTAACTGGGATATCTTCTTCTACATGGCATATATGCAGGACCCATGAGCTTCTTACAAGCACATTTCATAAATTTAACTGTGTTTGTTCCCAGCAACCTTTTGGGGGAGAGAAGTAGTATTGTCTCTGCTTTATATCTGGTGAGCAGGAGATCTGAAATGGCTGTACCTGAGATCTTGAAAGAAACATAACAACGACTTAATGAATTGAACTTGGGTTTTCTGAGCCTTAATCTGATGCCTTATGAAGGGGCCATTCGGACAGAGATAGAACATCGTGAATGTTTGTTGAAAGACTCCAAGAAACTTGTGGTATGTGAAGAAATAGAGGCATGTGTACTATGGAATATATCTATATTTTTTTTTAAAGCAGCATTGATTCTTTAACTGCTGCAATGTGTAGCAGGAATGTATAATGTCCGATTTAGCCACAGAGGTCAGAACATAATAATCACTGATCTGACATATATTTAACCTGCACTGATTGGGTTCACAGTAGCTGCACTGAAATGCAGATGGGACTCTGACTGCAATGTAGACAAACTTCCTCAGCTACCAACTTCAGCACGGATTAGATTTTGCTCCTTTGCCCTTTCTTCTCCTTGACATTCTGCAAGAGCAGCATTTTTGTAGCATTTTGTTAGAAAATGCTAGAAGAGCAGTAAATCTCAGTCCCATTTTAATGGCATTATAATTCCTGGGTGAAATATGTTTGAAAAGTATGTGTGTTACTCTTGTTAAAATGAAGATCTTGTGGGCCCTCTCTCCAAGCCAATGCTAGAATTGGTAGTTAAATGCATTTAACTGAAAAATAACTTGGCTTCCAACTCCGTGTTCTCCCCTTCTCATGCTTTCTATTTATTGAAGCATTTAAGAAATTTTTAGGGGTCTTAGTGTGTGGGCTAAGACTGTTCAAATTTGAGCATGTCCTTAAGTGCTTTGATAAAGCAGGGCTGTTGAATGAGCTGCCACTGTAACTCTTCTATCTATCTTAGCTTCTGGCTATCCAAACAGTTCCTTTATAGTTTGAATTTGTTAATCAACAGTTTACATGTAATATGTATTGGCCAACACGCTTCTGTGTTCACCATTGTTATTCATCCAAATTAATAGGCTCAAGTTCAGAGGGAGCCTGTGAAGCTAAACGAGGTGTGTGTCTTGATGATGGCACCTTAAGGTAATAGAGCAGCTTTTAGGTACCCATGAATGGGCCACATTAATTATTGGGGTGCACTGTCTTCTGAAGTTGTTCCTGGGCATGTTATAGGAAATACTGATGAAATAATGATGAAATAATGACAAAAAGTAAGTCTTGCTGCTTAGATATTGCTGTTGAGACAGATGAATTTAAATACAAAGGAAATATAAGGTTAATAATTAAGGAATCCTCATAAATTTTTGAGAAAGTATTTAAAAGAGATATTTTAACTATATTTAAGAATAAAAGTAGGATTGACCAGAAGTTAAATTCCCTTGTATTTTTAGTTTGAGATCAACTCAAACTAAAGTGAGATCATTATTTAGTTTGTTTTTTTAAAAAATAAGAACACCCAAACAATAAACTGCTGTTATGAATAGACAGAATATAGGTGTGTTTGGTTTGCATTGCTTTAACCCTACATGGAGTTCACACTCTACTCTAAAAGCTCTGTTGGCTTAAAGAGGTTTTTAAGATGTAATAGTTTTATGTTTGCAAAAGAAGATGATGGAAATATGTTCCTTATCTGCAAAACCTTCATGTTTATTTAGAAAGAAAATAAAACTGGGTTTATGGTAAGAGGATGAAAAGTGTAATTAAAGACTGTATGTAAACAGGGTGAAAAAACCTGAAACTGAGCAGCAACAGTACACTTCTGAGGACCTTGCCATAAGCACGTTTACAAGTGCCTGGACTTCTTAAGGACTAATAAAAGGCCATAAACAACACGGTGTGGGTTGTATTAATATAAGAATTCCGGTGTAATATTAGGAAAGCTACAGTTGCCTTTTGGGATGAAGTCCTGCTTTCCAGTGGCAGGTTTCCCCAGCCTGGCAGGGGGGTTGCCGGGGCGCTGAGCCTGGCTGTGCTGGCAGCCCTGCGGTGGCTGCGCGGCATCCGCAGGGTGGCAGCCCTCGGTTGCGGTGCCGGCAGCGAGGGGCTGCGGGCAGGAGGTGGGCAGGGGGCAAGGGACTGGTACCCCTTAGGTACCTAAGCTGTGCATCTCACATCACACAGGCTTAGGGTCTTATCTGGAAAGCTGCACACAGTAACCTCAGTAACCCCAATGAGGGACAGCTTCCTTACCTCGCTTAGAAACACGCTCACAAGCAAAATTTACAACCTTCAATCCTCTTCTTTTTTTTTTTCCACTGGCTTGCTTCAAGAAAAACAGATTAACAAAGAAGGATGTTCGGTGAAAACACGTTCAAGGCTTTGCAATTGGTAGTTGCTCAGTTTTGCTTTAACATTTGGGGGGCTTCCAGCGTGCTTGCAATGTGAATTTACATGTACCTCAATAGGCTAAATGTTTTCTTTATACACTCAGTTTTCCTAAGTACAAAGTATTTACATGGTTTTCACAAATATATTAAGTTTTGTTAGAATTGGGCCAAGGAATAAATTTTCCATTTATTATGCCCCCAGACAGAGCGGTTGTCAGAGCTTAACTTTTCTTCTCTCTGCTTGCTGTGGCAGTAAATAGTAAAGACTTTCTTTTAAAGATGGGTCTGTAAACTGCAGCGTTAGCATTACAATGATTTATGTAGAAAATTGCTTTAGCACTGTCAGAGGCCTTCAGAGAATAATGTGGCAGTCTTTCATATTTCAAAAAAAAAGAACAGAAAAATCCAAGAAACAGACTACAGCAAGATGTCTGTCTGAAATGTGGTTATCAGAAAGCTGGTTCTCCCTGCAAGGTGGTTCCTGGGTCTGGTGGAAATAAGAATATGTCCCTCCCAGACACCCTGAGGTTTGTGGGCAAATAGTGTGGGTTTTTGTTGTCTGCTCAGACTTCAAATTCTTCTGGGTTAGTTTACCATTTCTCTGACATCTGAAGGGTTTTGGGTAGTCGAGGCTGATTATATTTATCTAAAGGAGTAGTGATTTACAGAGAGGGAAGGAAGCAACTTGGGTTTTGGCTGTTGAAAGCTTACTCAACTCATTTGTTGAATCTTGAGATAGTGTTCAAAAAGTAGGTCTTACCTTTGGGGTCCATTCTTCTTTTTTTTTTTTTTTATTGCTTGCTTGTTATTCCATTACCTCTAAGTAATGAACACGATGTGAAGAGGTTTCTCTTAGCATTCAAACAGGATAGTTAAGGTGGTTTCAAGACTGTATTTTTGTTTATGTTGACCCTTTTAGTAATGTGACCTGAAATCCTTTTTTCAAAGGTAAACTTAACAGAAAAAACGTTAGGAGTATGCTTTTCATGTATTCATTGAACCATTCTATATTTTTGTTTCCCTTTTTAC